TTGTTAAATAGAAGCAAAAATAAAAGTGTAGCAAGTAGTTAAGGTTTGGCTTGCCTAGCTCCCATTAGTAGCGCCATCACGACTCCTGAGGGTGGGAAATCCGGGTCGTGACAAGTTGGTATTAGAGCTCTAGGTTACATGGGTCTCACAGTTCACAGACAAGCTTAGTAGAGTCTGAGGGATCAGTACGGAGACGTCTGTATTTATCCCCTAGAGGCTATAGAGTTAGGAAAATTTTCACCTCTATTCTTCCCTGTCATGCGATTTTGTTCTCTCAATGTTAAATTGAAACCTCTACTCTTGTCCTTTTGCAAATGGCGAGGTCATGTATCGCTTCTTCAGCCAAGCAACATCACAAACTCGTGATAGATCAGCTACGCCCTCGAAGGCTTTGTGGAGGTTGGGTAGGTTTCACCAAGATCTTCACTACTACTTTCAATGGTGCATCTTCTGAGGATCTCCAGGATTATCTAGACAGCCGCCACGAGGTTCTCAGGAACAAGGGTATTGTTAAGACCAATGGGGTTGATTTTGCTACATTTCACTTGTCTGGATCCACCAAGACTTGGTGGAGAGATTATTGTTTGGCTAGACCAGCCGGATCGCCAGCCTTGACTTGGGAGAAGTTTGCACAGCTATTTCTGGAGAAGTTTCTCCCCATTACTCAGAGAGAGGCCTATCGGAGGCAATTTGAGCACCTCCAGCAGGGTTCCATGACGGTTACCCAGTATGAGACCAGGTTCATTGATTTGGCTCACCATGCTCTCATCATACTCCCCACCAAGAAAGAGAGCGAGGAGGTTCATTGAGGGACTCGTCCAGCCCGCTCAGTTAGCTAGAGGTGGAGGTAGTGGTATTAGAGGTGGAGGTAGAGATGCTAGAGGAGGAGGTAGAGGTATTAGAGGTGGAGGTGCAGGTACTGTTTTGGTTTGTAGCAGAGAAGCTTCGGTTTATTTTGCGCCGCATCTGGTCATGCCTAGTGGTTCTTTGAGTGCCCCTGTTTATGTGTCTACGCCGGTGGGTGATTCTATTATGGTGGATTGTGTTCATTGATCATGTATAGCTGTGATTGGAGGTCTTGAGACTCGTGTAGATTTGCTTCTTCTGGACATGGTTGATTTCGATGTCATATTGGGGATGAACTGGTTATCACCTTACCATGCTATCTTGGATTGTCATGCCAAGACTGTGACCTTAGCCTTGTCGAGTTTGCCTCGTTTAGAGTGGAGAGGGACTCCTGGTCATTCTACCCGCAGTGTTATCTCTTATATGAAGGCTCGGCGTATGGTCAAGAAGGGGCGGTTGGCCTATTTGGCCTATGCTCGTGTTTCTAGTGCTGAGATTCCTTCTATTGATTCTGTGCCCGTTGTTCGTGAGTTTCCTGAGGTATTTCTTTCAGGCCTGTCGGGTATGCCACCCGATAGGGATATTGACTTTTGCATTGATTTGGCTCCGGGCACTCAGCCCATTTCTATCGCCGTATCGCATGGGCCTGCCTGAGTTGAAAGAGTTGAAGGAGAAGTTCCAAGACTTGCTTGAGAAGGGTTTCATTAGGCCGAGTGTTTCGCCTTGGGGTGCGCCAGTGTTGTTTGCTAAGAAGAAGGATGGGTCGATGACGATGTGTATTGATTACCGATAGTTGAATAAGGTTACAATCAAGAATAAGTATCCATTGGCGAGGATTGCTGATTTGTTTGATTAGCTTTGGGGTGCCAAGGTATTTTCAAAGATCGACGTGAGATCTAACTACCATCAGTTCAGGATTAGGGCATCTGATGTCCCTAAGACAGCTTTCCGCACTCGGTACGGGCATTATGAGTTCTTGGTGATGTCGTTCGGGTTGGCAAATGCCTCAGAAGATTTTATGGATTTGATGAATCGAGTGTTCAGGCCTTACTTAGATTCGTTCGTGATAGTCTTCATTGATGACATTTTGATTTATTCCCGCAGCCGGGAGGAGCACGAGCAGCATCTCAGAGTATTTCTTCAGACCTTGAGGGATAGTCAGTTATATTCTAAGTTCTCAAAATGTGAGTTCCGGTTGAGTTCAGTTGCATTTTTGGGTCATGTTGTATCGGTATAGGGTATTCAGGTTGATCTGAAGAAGATTGAGGCAGTCAAGAACTGGCCTAGACCAGCGTCAACTATAGAGATTCGGAGTTTCTTGGGATTGGCAGGCTACTATCGTCGGTTCGTGGAGGGGTTTTCATCTATTGCAGCCCCGATGACTAGGTTGACCCAGAAGGGTGCCCAGTTCAGATGGTCGGATGAATATGAGGTGAGCTTTCAGAAGCTCAAGACAGCTCTGACTACGGCACTGGTGTTGGTTTTGCCCATAGGATCAGGGCCTTATACAGTTTATTGTGATGTATCTCGTATTGGACATGGTGCAGTGTTAATTCAGGATGGCAAGGTCATTGCCTATACTTCACGGCAGTTAAAGATTCATGAGAATAACTATCTGGTTCCTGGTTTGGAATCGGCAGCCATTGTTCACACATTAAAGATTTGGAGGCATTGACTGTATGGAGTGGCATGTGAGGTGTTCACGGATCACAAGAGTCTTTAGTATTTATTCAAGATAAAGGAGTTGAATTCGAGGCAGAGAAGGTGGTTGGAGTTGTTGAAGGATTATGATATCACTATCTTGTATCACCCGGGGAAGGCCAATGTGGTGGCCGATGCTCTGAGTAGGGAGTCAGCCAGTATGTGCAGTCTTGCTTATATTCCGGTTGGTGAGAGGCCGCTTGCTTTGGATGTTCAGGCTTTGGCCAATCAGTTCATGAGGTTGGATGTTTCTGAGCCTAGCCGTGTGATAGCTTGCATCGTCGCTCGTTCTTCATTATTGGAGTGTATTTGAGATCAGCAGTATAATGATCCCCATTTGTGTGTCCTTAGAGACACGGTGCTACACGGAGGTGCCAAGCAGGTTACCTTAGATGATGGTGGATTTTTGAGATTGCAGGGTCGAGTATGTGTGCCTAATGTGGATGGGCTTCGGGAGTTGATTTTAGAGGAGGACCATAGCTCCCGGTACTCTATTCATCTGGGCGCCGCAAAGATGTATCAGGATTTGTGGATTATTGGTGGCGTAGAATGAAGAAGGATATTGTTACATATGTGGCTCGGTGTTTGAATTGTCAGTAGGTTAAGTATGAGCATCAGAGGCCTGGTGGTTTATTTCAGAGGATTGAGCTTCCCGAGTGGAAGTGGGAGCGGATCACTATGGAGTTCGTTACTGGACTCCCACAAACTCGGAAGAAGTTCGACGTAGTATGGGTCATTGTTGATAGGCTGACCAAGTCAGTACATTTCATTCCTATGGCAGTCTCTTATTTTTCTGAGAGGTTAGCTGAGATCTATATTCGGGAGATTGTTCGCCTTCATGGTGTTCTTGTGTCTATCATTTCGGACTGAGGTACGCAGTTTACCTCGCGTTTCTGGGGAGCAGTTCAGCGAGAGTTGGGCACGCGGGTTGAGGTGAGCACAGCATTTCATCCCCAGACGGACGGACAGTCCGAGCGGACTATTCAGTTATTGGAGGATATGCTCTGACCTTGTGTCATTGACTTTGGAGGCTCGTGGGATTAGTTTTTGCCTTTAGCAGAGTTTGCCTACAACAACAACTACCAGTCGAGTATCCAGATGGCTCTTTATGAGGCTTTATATGGTAGGCGATGTCGGTCTCCGGTTGGATGGTTTGAGCTAGGAGAGGCTCGGTTGTTGGGTACGGATCTGGTTCAGGAGGCCTTGGACAAGGTCAGGATAGACTTCGTACAGCTCAGTCCAGGCAAAAGGGTTATGCAGACCGCAAGGTTCAAGATGAGGCTTTTATGGTCGGAGAGCAGGTATTGCTCCGAGTGTCGCCTATGAAGGGCGTGATGAGATTCGGGAAGAATGGCAAGCTTAGCCCTAGGTTCATTGGTCCATTTGAGATTCTTGATCGAGTGGGAGAGGTGGCTTATAGACATGCATTGCCGCCGAGCTTAACAGTCATACATCCAGTGTTTCATGTGTCCATGCTTCGGAAATATCACGGCGATCCATCCCACGTGTTAGATTTCAGCACTGTCCAGTTGGACAAGGACTTGTCTTATGAGGAGGAGCCGGTAGCTATTCTAGACTCGCAGATTCGTCAGTTGAGATCGAAGAGTTTTCCTTCTATTCGTGTTCAGTGGAGAGGTCAGCCTCCTGAGGCATTGACCTGGGAGTTCGAGTCTGATATGCGGAGCCGTTATCCCCATCTTTTCCCTTACTCAGGTACTTCATTCTTTTGTCCGCTCGAGGACGAACGATTGTTTTAGAGGTGGAGAATGTGATGCCCCAAAGGGTCATCACTTATTTTTAAATTAAATTCTACATTCTGAGGCATTAAAAGCCTCTCTTAGCATCACCTTGATTTGCGTGTGCAGTCCGGGCGCGTAGCCGGAAAGCTTAAATGAGAAAATATGTGAAAAATGATAAGTTTTGACTATAAAATGAATTAATTTGACTTCGGTCAACGTTTTAGGTAAACGGACCCAGACCCGTGATTTGACGGTCCCGGAGGGTCCATAGGAAAATATGGAACTTGGGTGTATGCCCGGAATCTAATTCCGAGGTCCCAAGCCCGAGAAATGAATTTTTGAAAGAAATTATTTTCTAAAATTGTTTATAAGGTTTGGAAATGAATTTTGATTAGAACATGTTGGTATCGGGCCCATATTTTGGTTTCGGCGTCCGGTACAGGTCTTATATATGATTTAAGATGATTCTGTGAAGTTTGGTAAGAAATGGAATCCATTTGACGTGATTCAGACCATAATTGAAAAAATTGATGTTTAAGAAGTTTTGATAAATTTCATTGATCTTGAGGTTTAATTCGATGTTCGTTATATTATTTTGATGATATGAGTGCACGAATGAATCTGTGGGATGTTTTTGAGGTTGTGTGTATGTTTGGTTTGGAGCCCCGAGGGCTCGGGTGAGTTTTGTATAGGCCACGGGGTGAAATTTTGGACTTAAGGAATTGCAGGCCTGCAAGCTTCGCATTTCCCAAATTTTTTTCGCAATTCCCAGGCGTGTTCGCAATTCCCAGGTTCGCATTTCCCAAACTTTTTTCGCAATTCCCAGGCTTGTTCGCATTTCCCAAACTTTTTTCGCATTTCCCAAACTTTTTTCGCAATTCCCAGGCTTGTTCGCATTTCCCAAACTTTTTTCGCATTTCCCAAACTTTTTTCGCAATTCCCAGGCTTGTTCGCATTTCCCAAACTTTTTTCGCATTTCCCAAACTTTTTTCGCAATTCCCAGGCTTGTTCGCATTTCCCAAACTTTTTTCGCATTTCCCAAACTTTTTTCGCAATTCCCAGGCTTGTTCGCATTTCCCAAACTTTTTTCGCATTTCCCAAACTTTTTTCGCAATTCCCAGGCTTGTTCGCATTTCCCAAACTTTTTTCGCATTTCCCAAACTTTTTTCGCAATTCCCAGGCTTGTTCGCATTTCCCAAACTTTTTTCGCATTTCCCAAACTTTTTTCGCAATTCCCAGGCTTGTTCGCATTTCCCAAACTTTTTTCGCATTTCCCAAACTTTTTTCGCAATTCCCAGGCTTGTTCGCATTTCCCAAACTTTTTTCGCATTTCCCAAACTTTTTTCGCAATTCCCAGGCTTGTTCGCATTTCCCAAACTTTTTTCGCATTTCCCAAACTTTTTTCGCAATTCCCAGGCTTGTTCGCATTTCCCAAACTTTTTTCGCATTTCCCAAACTTTTTTCGCAATTCCCAGGCTTGTTCGCATTTCCCAAACTTTTTTCGCATTTCCCAAACTTTTTTCGCAATTCCCAGGCTTGTTCGCATTTCCCAAACTTTTTTCGCATTTCCCAAACTTTTTTCGCAATTCCCAGGCTTGTTCGCATTTCCCAAACTTTTTTCGCATTTCCCAAACTTTTTTCGCAATTCCCAAGCCAACAGAGGTTGGTTCACAATTGCGAACCCCTGTTCGCAATTCCCATACCTGCTACCTGCAACTTTTATACTTAGACGATTTTAAACTCATTTTTCATATTCTCTCAAAACATAAACACACTTAGGCGATTTTTCAAGGATTTCTTCTTCTCCACATCAATTGTAAGTCATTTTTAACTAACTTCCTTCAATTCTTAACATCTTTTAACATGATTTCAACTTCAAATAAATGATTTTCATGGGGGAAATTGGGTGTTTTGGATAGAACCTAGGTTATTTGAAAATTGGGGATTTGAACCTCGATTTGAGGTCCGATTTCAAAACAAATTATAGATTTGAGTTCGTGGGGGAATGGGTAATCGGGTTTTGGTTCGAACCTCGGGTTTTGACCATGTGGCCCCGTGGGCGATTTTTGACTTTTTGGGTAAAACTTTAGAAAACTCATTTTCATGCATTCAAATTGATTCATTTAGCGTTTATTGATGTAATTAAGTAACTTGTGACTAGATACGAGTGAATTGGTGGTGGAATCAATGGGTAAAGCTATAATTGAATCGTGAATTGTGTTCGTGGCATCGAGGTAAGTGTTTGGTCTAACCTTTGCTTGAGGGATTAGGAGTTGAGTCATATTTGCTATGTGGTAATTGTTGAGTACGACGTATAGGCATGGTGACGAGTATCTATACATTGGTGTCAAGCATGATCGTGAGTCTTATATTGTGATTTTCATGATTTCGTTGAATTATTCATGCCTTGGTGAAGATTTCTAATTGTTGTATAAAGTTTGTGGAAAGAATTGTGAACCATGATCACTGAGGAGCGTTGGCTCAAGTTGTATAACGAATTGTGAAAGTGTAAGTGACAATTGAATTTTTAGAGCATTGGCTCGAGTTGTGAAATTAGTTGTGAAGGTATAAGTGATAATTGAACCTCTAGAGCATTGGCTTGAGTTGTGAAGTGAATTGTGAAGTAAAAGTGAGAAAGAGAAGAGATCATTATGTTGTCACCCTTGCCGGGCTATTGTTGATTTATTTGTTATCTCTCTTGTCGGGATGTGGATATTATTGATGTTGTTCCCTTGTCGGGATTTAATTGTTGACTTGTTGCTCCCTTGCCGGTATTCTTATTGCAAATTTCCTTTATTTCCTTGCCCTATTGTTTGTGATTGTTGTTTAAGTGAGGAAGAGAGTTAAAGCACGAAGGGTGATGTCGTGCATTGTTTATTTTGTGAGGGAAGAGTGTAAAGCACGAAGGGTGATGTCGTGCCGCACGATGTACCATTCTGTGCCTATTATATTGATTTCATGGTGAGGATGAGAGTAAAAGCACAAAGGGTGATGCCGTGCAATTTATATTGATTCTTATGGTGAGAACGAGAGTAAAAGCACGAAGGGTGATGTTGTGCACTTGTCTTTGATTTACCTGATTCTTACTGATAATTGAGTTATGTTGTCCTTTACATTTATTTACTGATTTTCTGATGTTACTTGATTTTATTTCGATGTTATAGATTCTCTTACCCTATTTGCTTTGTGATTGTTTTTTGGGTGAGGAAGAGCATAAAGCACGAAGGGTGATGTCGTGTATTATTTTGGTGAGAGAGAGTAAAAGTACGAAGGATGATGTCATGCACATTTTGATTATATGATTGTTTTGGTGAGGATGAGAGTAAAAGGACGAAGGGTGATGCCATGCATATTTTTATTATATAACTGCTTTGGTGAGACTGAGAGTAAAAGCACGAAGGGTGATGCCGTGCAATTGTTGATTTCTGCTTCCTTGTTGATATTCTAGTTATGTTGTTTTTTTCCTTACTTGATGCCTTTCTATTCGGAACTATTATCTCCCCCACAGCATGTTTCTCCCTCCCATATTGACTGGTTATTTCTGTATTACTTTTCCGTTGTATATATATATATATATATATATGAACTGTACAGGTTTATTTGGTAGTCTGGTCCTAACCTCGTCACTACTTCGCCGAGGTTAGGCTAGACACTTACTAGCACATGGGGTCGGTTGTGCTGATACTACACTCTGCACTGTGTGCAGATCCACGATCAGTTTTCGAACAGTAGTTGGAGGGATTCCTTCAGTCCACTAGGAGGACCAAGGTAGACCTACAGGCATCCACAGGCCCTGGCGTCTCCCTCTATCTCTATTTCCTATTTCATTTCCTTTTGTTCAGAAACAGTGTATTGTATTTCTTCAGACCTTGTATGTAGTAACTCTTAGACAGTCCGTGACACTGTGATACCAGGTTTTGGGGGTATTTGAGGTTTTAAAAGTTGTAATAGACATAGCCTTAAAATATATAATTGTTGACTTCCGCTTATTTATTTAAAATTCCGTTTTTATCATATTATCGACTTGTGTTTGTTAAAAAGAAGCAAAAATGAAAGTGTAGTAAGTAGTTAAGGTTTGGCTTGCCTAGCTCCCATTAGTAGACGCCATCACGACTCCCGAGGGTGGAAAATCCGGGTCGTGACAACCCGGCCCTAGTTCCTCCGCACACCATCATCCTTCACCATCATTCATTTCCACCAACCAGGTAACACCAACTAAACCTTCTATTATATGCCTCACCCACGCAGAGATTCAAAGTCATTGTGAGCTTAGCCTATGCTATTATTGCCAGGAGAAGTATTCAGCAGGTCATAATTGTAAATCGCCACCTCAACTGCTTCTCCTTACTGATGGATCTGGTGTGGAACCCACCTTACCAAAGTAGTTGTCTCTGATTACATTTTAGCAGAGGACCTGCAATACCTTGAACTTCAGGAACAGTCCACTATATCACATCATGCATTGGCCGACGAAAATTCTTCGTCCACTCTCCGATTTCTGGGATATGTGAACAGGTCCCTCGTCTAGTTTATGGTGGATGGTGGTAGCAACCACAACTTTATCCAGGCAAGGGCAGCTAAGTTCTTACAACTTCCCATTGATACCACCCACAATTTTGTAGTTGTGGTGGGGAACGGTCAGCGTTTCAGATGTGAGGCCATTGTTCGCCAAGTTCCACTCTAGATCTAGGGGTGTGACCTCACCTTTGATCTGTATGTACTGTCACTACAAGGTGCAGATGTGGTTCTTGAAGCTTCATGGCTTTCCACGCTATGAAGGGTGGTTACTGACTATGTCGAACACCTCTTTGAATTTCACAACTAGGAAGATACCGTTATTTGGAAGGGATTGATTCTAACTAAAGCCCAACATGTCCAACTATAGAGTATCCGATGACACACAGCTACAGATGTTATTTCCTCCTACTTATGCTTGCAAATGCTCGCACCGGACGAGGCTGCCAATGAACAGGTTAGACCGGACCTACGATGCCTCCTAGATACCTTTGTTAATGTCTTCCAAAAACCGCAAGGATTACCTCCTTCTAGACTGCTGGATCACGCTATTTATTTGGTTGTCGGTGCAGCTCTAGTCAACGTCAAACCGTATCGATACCCCTACTTCCAGAAGAAAGTCAGGGAGAAACTGGTAACGGATGATCAAAGAAGGGGTAATTCGGGCTAGCACCAGTTTTTTTCTTCTCCAATCCTGCTAGTGCGAAAGAAGGATGGCACATGGAGATTTTGCGTAGATATAGGGCCTTGAATGTAGTCATAGACAAGGACAGATTTCCTATTCCGATAGTTGACTAGTTGTTTCATGAGTTCCACGGTTCAGTCTATTTTTCTAAGCTGACTTATTTGGTGGTTATCACCAGATTCGAGTTAGGCCAGAGGATGTAGCTAAGACAGCGTTCGGATCTCATGATGGACATTACGGGTAGACGTCGATCAGTTCGGGTGGGCATCGATTAGTTCAGTTTGATTTTGTAGAAGTTCGATTCGATTTTTCAGTTTTCAATTTAGGATTTTAATAACCAAACCGAACCAAAGTATTTTTGGTGCGGTTCAATTTTCCTGCAGTTTGGTGTAGTTACTTTCGATTTGATTTTTTGATTTTAGGCTTTTCAAATTGGACTTCTTTCTTAAGCAATAAATGAGTCTCATAATTAATTATTAGTACAAAGTTTCTAAGGTTCAATGCATGTGCTTAGCAAATTTTCCTACTCTAATCTACTATAACATGAAATTTAATTAGAAAATAATAAAATATGCACTAATCATTTCTAAGATGCAATTATGATTCTCTTAATTTCCTCAGAACGTACACTAGCTAGCTTTATGGGTTATGATGTAGCGTGACCTTGGGGTTGGATGAACTTCTAAAAAGTGTGGCATTTTGGGGTTTGGGCTTCAACATTTACTAAAAATTAATAAATGATTGGGCCCATATTTAACATGTTAAGATAAGCCCAGAGGCTATACAACCCATGCTTAAAAAAACTTCAATTTTTCGGTCTACCGAAAAACCAAAATACTAAAATCGAATACCGAATCGAACACCAAACTTTTAAAAACTATAAACAGCAAACCGGCCGAAAAATTGAACAAAATGAACCGTATAAACCAAAACTATCGGTTCGGTCGATTTTTTCGGTTCGGTCGATTTTATCGGTTCGGTTGGTATTATGTCCACCCTAATGGACATTGCGAGTTTTTAGTAATGCCATTTGGGTTATCTAATGCACCACCTACTGTCCAGGCTACCATGAATGAACTATTCCAGCCATTCTTGTGTCACTCTATTCTCGTATTTTTCGATGATATTCTAGTGTATAGTCTTTCTTGAGAGGAACATTTGGCTTATCTAAAGTCAGATATACAGCTATTACGCCAATACAGTTTGGTAGCCAAATGTAACAACTGTAGTTTTGGCCAAACATCAATTGATTATCAGGGGCATGTGATATCTAACCAAGGACTTAGTGTAGACCCAGCAAAGATCACAACGATTCAGCAATGGCTTGATCCTAAGAATGTCGAGGAGGTGCACTAGTGGGATATGATTTCTAGATCATCTACCGGCCTAGCAAACTAAATCAGGA